GACGTAGAATAGTTGGTCTCAGCTCGAGAAAGAGTACGACTGGCGTAAGCTATCACATGCTCAACGCCGCCGTGTCGTTGTACAAGGACAGCGCCAAGTCCGACGTTGCTGGCATCTGTATGAATTTCTGTAGCAGCGTCCTCATCAAAATGGGCAAGAACAGGGGCTGTTTGCATTCTCTGTCGTAACTCTGTGAACGCTGTATCTTGTTCTGCGGCCCATGTAAAGGGTACGTCATCTCGGGTGAGTCGCGTAAGAGGTTCAGCTATCTTAGAGAAGTTGGCGATAAATCGGCGATAATACGCGCACAAGCCGAGGAAACGGCGTACTGCTCTTTTATCTGATGGGACAGGGAAGGCGGCGACAGCAGCAGTTTTGTCTGGATCAGGTCGCAATCCATCTGCACTAATGACATGTCCCAGAAATTTCAGCTCTTCATAGCCGAAATGGCATTTTTGGGTTTCAGCGTAAGTTCAGCTGTGCGAATGGCTTCCAGAACCTTTCTCAGACGCTTCAGATGTTCTTCAAAGCTCTCGGAAAAGATGACCACATCATCGAGGTAGACAAGGCAGCTTTGCCACTTCAAGCCAGCGAGAACTGTGTCCATCATCCTCTGAAAAGTGGCTGGTGCAGAACAGAGGCCGAAGGGAAGAACTCGGAATTCGTAAAGTCCGTCTGGAGTCACAAACGCGGTTTTTTCTCGGTCTCGTTCATCCACTTCAATTTGCCAATAGCCACTCTTTAGATCGATGGACGAAAAATACTTCGCACGTCGTAACCTGTCGAGGGAGTCGTCTACTCGTGGAAGCGGGTAGACGTCCTTTTTTGTGGCGCTATTAAGCTTCCTGTAGTCAATACAGAATCGCAGCGTTCCGTCTTTTTTCTTTACTAGAACGACTGGCGAGGACCAAGCGCTCCTGGATGGTTGAATAATCCCGTCATCGAGCATCTCTTTTACTTGTGTCTGAATAGCCTCGCGTTCTTTCGCAGAAACGCGATAAGGCTGCTGCCGGATGGGGCGGACGTCATCGTCGGTAATAATTCGATGCTTCGTGAGGTGTGTTTGACGGACTTTAGAAGAAGAGGCGAAGCAAGATCTAAACTCCCTTAAAAGGTCGTGAAGTGCAGCCTTTCTCTCGTCTGACAGCGTCGAATTAATGTCGATGTGGTCTAGAAATTCCTTATTTTCATGCGTTTCCTCGGACGCGAAGCACTCCGTGACGTCGGCAACAGGTTCTCCATAAGCTAGGGTGGTTCCACGGAAAAGATGCCGGTGCTCGTAGTTGAAGTTCGTAGCTAGTATCGTTGACTGTCCGTCACGGACGCGCACAACACTTCGGGCGGCGCATACACCTTGGAGCAGCAGAAGTGATAAGTTGCTTTCAGCCACCACGTCGCCGTCTCGGAAGTCTTCACAAGTGACTTCGATGGGAACAGTTGCTCGAGGTGGCAGCGTCACACTGTCATCAGCAACACGCAGCGCAAGTCTACGGCAGTTATCGGCGTCTCGATCTGTTGCGCCTTGAGTCGAGAAGGTCACGATGCGCTCACGGAGATTTATGATGGCACCGTATTCCCGAAGGAAGTCCATGCCGATAATCAGCTGACGCGAACAGTCGGGGAGAACGAGGCAGCTGAGCACAAACGTTGACGCACGAATTTTCACTCTTGCGGTACAGCGACCAGCGGTGTTACAACGTGTCCTCCAGCTGTTCGAATTCGCGTTCCATTCCACGGCGTGATCACTTTCCTGAGATCTTTCGCTAGCCTCCCGCTGATGATCGAATAGTCTGCACCAGTGTCTACCAATGCACTGACCTGAAGACCGTCAACCAGCACAGGTATGTCGAGCGACACGCGGCCACTAAGTTCAGATGCGAATGTCGGCGTTTCTTCGGCACTGCGATTATTCTCTGACGAAATGCCTTCGGCGTTGCGTGCAAGCATCGATGGGAGGTCTTCCGCACTTTGAGTCCCAGCGACCTTGCCCCCGAAGGCCGCTGCCTTCAGTTTTCCCGACGAGGGCTCGGGGAGCGTTCCCGTGCCGTCACCCCAAAACGTGGCCCAGTGGCTGCGGGTCTCCTCGGAGATGGTGACCGCGATTGCCGTCGTGTAAAGGGTGCACGCTGTTGCGCGAGATATTCTTCGATATCTCTTGGCCTTTGACCAATTCGAGGACGAGGGGAATTGACGGAAAATCCGCGCAGTCCAAGTTGCCGGTATGGGCATTCGCGGTAAATGTGACCAGCCTCACCGCAATGATAGCAGAGGGGTCGTCTGTCTGGCGTACGCCAGAGATCAGACTTGCGCGTCGGTGTAAGGCGACTATCGATGCCCAAATCAGCGTGCGCTGACTGAATCGCGACTGACGGCATCATTGTCTGGATCGGGACGTATGGCATAGTCTGGATCGGGACGTGCGGCACTGTCTGGATCGGGACGTGCGGCACTGGCTGGATCGGGACTCCTTGGCCCGAAAGAGGAGTGGCAGATCGCAAGGCTTCCGCGTACGTACGACGGCGACTGTCAGTAGACACAGGAGCCGTTTCCAGATCAACCGACGTGGACGGAAAACGATGGGCGTGCAGCACCTGCTGGACCTCGTCGCGGATGACACTGGTGATAGAACCAACATCGATTTGCCTTGTCCCGTACATCTTTTCCATTTCTTCCCGGACGACAGATCGAATGATCTCGCGAATCCATTCGGGGCTCTTGCTCCCAGGGCTGGCGAAAATCTCGGCAGTTGAGGCAGCATTCACTTGACGGTCAAACTGGGCAGACCGTTGGTGCAGTACTCGCTCCATTGTTGCCGCTTCAGTAAGGAACTCAGCAACACTTTTGGGTGGACTACGCACCAAACCAGCAAAAAGTTGTTCCTTCACACCACGCATGAGGTGGCGCAACTTTTTTTCTTCTGCCATAGCAGGATCCGCTCGCTTGAAAAGCCGTGTCATATCCTCGACGTACATCGAGACGGTCTCGTTGGGCATCTGGATGCGTGATTGAAGTACACGCTCCGCCCGTTCGCGGCGGTCGGGACTCCTGTAGGTCTCCAGGAGGCGACGCTGGAACTCGCGCCAAGACGTCAGAACATCATCCCTGTTCAAAAACCACGTCTTGGCACCGTCTTTTAGGCACGTGTACACGTTCCGGAGCTTCGCGGCATCATCCCAGTAATTGATCGCTGCGACACGTTCGAACTCACTCAGCCAGTCGTCAACATCTTCATGCTGCGCTCCGTGAAAGGGGCTACGCATGAGCGGGTTCTGGACGGTGCAGTAGATCGGCGTGGAAGGTGTCGGAGCTTGCATGGAATCTTGTGTCGAAGTCATAGTCGCTGCGTCAGTGGTTGGTGTCTCAGGCGGTAGGCCTCGTTGGCGGCGGCTTACTCTATGAACAGGAGTGTCCACGGGTGCAGGGCTTGTGTTCCGGCTGCTGGACGGGGTCTTGGGCATCGGGTGGATTGCGAGACGTTGTACCCAGCAACTCCACCAGTCTTGTCACGTTACTCTCGACAAACTTGATAAAGAATGGGCTCGTTTAGTTGACTACTCAAGCAGCGGCTCAGAGAGATCGTCTTCGTCTTCTTTCACTCTTCGATCTCACCCAAGCAAACCATGTGGCAATATGCTGTCCCCCACCTCCTCAGAAGACAATGTACTTAATTTTTACCAATTAGAGATGACATATCTTATGCTGTAAAAATCTATGACGTCATGACGAATGGTGCCAAAGGTTCGAAACGGCATCACTCACATTTTCCTTTTCTTCCCATTTCTGCTTACCGAGCTTCTTCTCACGGTCAGTGTGGTGATTTTGGCTTCGTAAAAGACTAATTTACTAATATAAGAAAACTCTGTTTTCCCTTTTGTGTCCCTTTATGCTACCTGGAGGGTTCAATGAACACAATTAAATGCAATGTTGTAAAATTAAAGAATACAAAACGGAAAGGTAAGAAATTGCCACACATACATCATCATCATCACCACCACCACCATCAGCCTGACTACGTCCACAGCAGGACAAAGGCCTCTGTGAACTCGGTCCTGTGCTTGCGCCTGCCAATTTATACCGACGAACTTCTTAATCTCATCTGCCCACCTAACCTTCTGTCTCTCCCTAACCCTCTTTTCTTCTCTGGGAATCCAATTAGTTAACCTAACAACCAGCGGTTATCCTGTCTACGTGCTACATGCCCGGCCCATGTCCATATTCTCTTCTTGATTCATTTATTTGTGGGGTTTAACGTCCCAAAACCACCATTTGATTATGAGAGACGCTGTAGTCGAGGGCTCCGGAAATTTTGACCACCTGGGGATCTTTAACGTGCACCCAAATCGGAGTACACGGGCCTACAACATTTCCACCTCCATCAGAAGCCGCCACAGCCGGGATTTGATCCCGCGACGTGCGGGTCAGCAGCCGAGTATCTTAGCCACTAGACCACTGTGGTGGGGCCATTGCCTCTTCTTGACTTCAACTATAATATCCTTAACCTGGGTTTATTCCCTAATCCACTCTGCTCTCTTCTTGTCTATTAAGGTTACACCTACCATTTTCCTTTCCATTGCTCGCTGCGTCGTCCTCAATTTAAGCTGAACCCTGTTTGCAAGTCTCCAGGTTTCTGCTCCGTAGCTAAATACCGGCAAGATACAGCTCTTATATACCCTCCTCTTGAGGAATAGTGGTAATCTACCTGTCATGATTTGAGAGTGCTTGCCAAATGTGCTCCACCCCATTCTTATTCTAGTTACTTCAATCTTGTACTTCGGCTCCGCGGTTATTACCTGTCCTAAGTAGACATAGTTATTTACAACTTCAAGTGCACTATTACCTATCTCGAAGCGCTGCTCTCTTCCGCGGTTGTTGCACATTACTTTCGTTTTCTGCAGATTAATTTTAAGACCTACTTTTCTGCTCTCCTTGTCTAACTCTGTTATCATCAGTTGCAATTCATACCCTCAGTTACTCAGCAATACAATGTCACACATACATACCTTGTCATAAATGGCAGGGTCATCTCTTTCTAGACTTTCCAATCCATCCAAGCGAAAATGAAGGGCTAACGGAGGCATGAGGGCAAGTTCGTCGTTCAGGCACACAAAGCCCGACTGATTCATAATTTCCTCCGAGTTTCCGTAGTCCATGTAATGAATGATGCTCTGCATACACACATCACAGACACTAATTAATAGGAAGCTAGGAAGCTCTTGCACACTTGACACAGCAGTAAATCTATGATTAAGAAAGTGACTACCATATCAACTTCATACCAAAAGAAGGAAAAACCGGCTATGCCCTCATGCAGCAAGTTTTTGAAACACAAGACTTAATCAATAGCTAACCTATTATTCATCAAACAAAGGGTTGTATAAAGTATCATCTTCAGCTTATTTCATGTTGACTATAGGCTGAAGGACTCTCAATCATGTACGATCATTTACAACCATATACTTATCTTGTACGAATTCAATTTTCAGTAGTGATTCAGCCAGTTTATAACCTTGGATCCTAAATTGGCTAATAAAACTTTTAGAGAAAGAAAATGCTGTTTTGGAGCAGTTTTGAAGAATTTCGGTTTCACTCGCAGCAGTACACCATTAAGCTTGTGTAACTATAATGCATATTCGTATTACTGCCCAAATAAGAAATGCTGCTACACATTAAAGGTGCCCCAACATAAAATTTACTCATGTCAAGATTTTCGCATCCTCGAATGATTATCAACTCCCTAGTAGCAATGTGCGACCAAAAACTCAACTGAGCGACAAATAGGCATCATTTTATTGATTTATATCACCGGTATCTAGGACGATTCAGAACGGCCGGCAAGCCCAATATTTTTAGCTTTGGGCTAAAACTACGGCGACGGAACACTTGCGGACGAAAAACGTGTCGTGAAAATGCAATAGCCTCAATTTCATGATAAACGCGGTGGCTTGAACCAACGCATTCAAGAACATATCAGTGTCGTCTGCTGTTAGTGATGGTTGCCGACCTCGAAAACTGAAGCTCCGCCAAATGGTTGCCAGCCTCAACAGTCGTCATATCATCCAACCAGAGTGCACATCAGAGCCGCTCATGCAAAGCTCATGCTGCTAGCACTTGTGTTGCATTTTGGCACCGGGCCGCCATTTTGCTCTCCGCTTGCGGGCGGCAGGGGTCCCGCCACGTGCGGAGCGGGAAGCGTGTGGAACGGCCCGAGTGTGCAGACCTCCAAAACGGAGACCCTGCCGCTAGTGCACCTCACGGATGACGTCAAGCCTTATTATTTGGTATCAAAATACAATTCGTTGGTATTGCATTCAATGCTACGAGCTTATGGGATAGTAAAAAATTGTATCTCTTGGACCCGGTATCGCGCAAGTCAAAAGGACGCTGGTTAAAGGGACAATGATCACTCCAGTTGCTGAAGCGGTTCTCGTGCTGTCAGTTATGCGAAAGGCTAAGCAGAGGTTAGTAGCACAAAAAGTTTATGAGCAGTCTCATTATGCCTCGACATACAGCGCACGTCAGGGACTCCACCTTTTAAACAACGCAGCCTTTCCCCCCCCCCACCTCCCCCCCCCAAAAAAAGCAATGAATGTGATGCCTGTACATCACTAACTCTGGAAAGTGAGGGGCGTAGGTGTAAATGGTGTAACCACTTCACCGTGGTCCTTCAGACACCATAGCCGCCAGCCATAGCCCCACTACTGAAAGCTGCGCATATTAAAGTCAAATAGCGGCTGCTCCGACCCGACGCATACTTTAATTAGATAACATTTAAAAAAAGCACACTAAAATTTTGTATTCAAACCTTAGCAATATCGAGTTTGAAAGGGCAGGGTCTTTTGGGAGTTTTACCATAACAGCAATTACAAACACGGACGTGCAGCAGGAAAGCATTACGACAAAACTCTTTTGAATGAATATCCAGGAATAAAGTATATTAGAGGAAAAGTGTCAACGCGTTCTCATCGTTTAGGTGTTCTGTGGACGCAAAGCACAGGTAATTACCGATGTCCTGAAGTAGACGTGACAGATATTCTGGCGGCACGTGTGAAGTTATTAGTGAAAATCAGTTCATTACATGCTGCACAACTCTTCAAACGAGCTATCAGCAGTGTTCCTGGAACGGACGACGTCCTCCGATAAATCGCCACCACAGTTTCACGCTACCAATTGGACTAGACGTCACGAGCCCCTGCGAAGATCGTATTTCACCTTTAAGCGAATGTGCACGATAAAAGTTGCGTCGGCACCAAACATAGCATCATGGATTATCTAGGACGCACGCGCGATCGCTGTTAATAACTCTTGGTACGTGATTGTTACTTTGGTGGCCCCAAGAAAAAGGTGCATATGTTCTGACGCGCTGGCATGGATATCGCCGGTGATAAACATTTCCAAACCCGACTTTGGCACAGTTTGGCACAATTTCCGCAGATATTATCAGGATGGCGCAGTCAATTTGATTTGGTGCACTTTGACGCACGAGTGAAATCACTGCAGTTAACATTGTAACAAGTAACCAACATTGTAGCAAAGCACCACCGAAGCATTAAAACAAAACTGTCGATTACAAGATACAGCCGTCACCTCACTGTCCACATGACAAGTGACTGTAGAAGGGGCAGCTTATATTTTGCATTCGGTGAAGCGTGCGCGAATAACAAGCACGACGAACTAATTTCAACCGAATAAAAAATCGAGAGGGCTGCCATGTTGCGGAAATCATTAATGCAGACGTGCCAACCCCAATGTTCTAAAGTACTGCAGGAGATGACAAAAAATACTAATACCAAGTACAAAAATACTAAAATAGCCCTTTATTTTCCTGAAACTGGCTTAGATGAATGTAATACAAAAGAAACATTTCACAAAAGAAGCACAAAAAGTTCTCAAGTCGCGGAAGTGGAGGGATAGACTAGCATAGAAGCCGTGGCAGCTTTGGCCTTCCTCAGAAAGTCTTTGTCAAAGACCTGTTCGTCGCACTTTTCTGAGTGTGACTGGGCACATCTAGCGACAAGCAACTGCTCCACAGTCTTTTTCGACATGGAGGCACGGAACTGGGCGTGCGCCTTTTTCACTTTGCTGAAAATTCTTTCACACTCCGCATTACTATACGGAAGTGTTAGGACCCCCAACATAAACTTTGAAAGTATGGCATGCTTAAAGCTGCCATCCACTTCTCGTAAACTTGACACCGCCCGCCATTGCTCATCAATCTGCTGCTCCTTAGGTACTTCAGCGAGTAATTCTTCCAACTGAAGACGCGTGAACTCTGCCTGAATGTCATCCAGAGCAGAATTCACATCTTGCCCCTCTTGAAGTGGTAGCAGCACTGGGAAGCGGTTGATTAAGTACTTGACGTCAGAAAACCTGGCGTGTTCAATGGACGCAAGCCTTGCTACTTCTGCACTTTTCAGCAGCTCACACTTCAGTGGAAATTTCAGGATCATGTACTCTGTTGCTGCAATGAAGAACCTTCTTATATGTGTAAAAAACTCTTCCCTTGCTTCTTTTTTTAGGCCTTCCAAGGTCTGTGTGGTCCGACTACCAATTACAATATCTTCATTATCTCGTTGGCTGACGGAAGATTTGTAGCCAACATCAGCCAACACATCAGCTTTTTTGATCATTGAATGTTTTACAAAACGCAACATGATCTCTCTTAGCAAGTTATTAAGCACTTCACGCAGCAAGTGCACTTGAGGGGCTCCAGACTGCAGGAACACGTTGACCTTTTCATAGTCTGGGATTACAGACAGCAAGAAGTTACAATATGCTCTATTTGCATCTGATGAAAGAAACATGAATAGCCTTTCTTCTCGGTTTAGGACCTTTCCTGGACGGTTTTGGGTTTGCTTGGGAGCTGTATCTGACACGGGGACATTCATGTCCAGTCTTGCTCTTTTGCTTTGATGACTGCTCTCCGCTTCCTTTGCATGCTTCTGAAGGTCAGTGTGAAGGTTACATGGCTTGCTGGAAAACTTGGAAACCTGCCCGGAGGGCCTTACTTCACTATGGAAGAAACTAAGCAGTGGCTGACACTGGTCCACAAGCCGTTTCAGGCTCCTTCCGAGAGAGAGCCACCTGGTGCTCACATGCTTTAAAATTTTTTTGGCCTCTACATTGTGAAGAGACTGAAAAGCCTTCAGCTTGTCCTTCCTTTTTGAGCTTTTCTCGAGGTAGCAGAAAATGTCGACCAGCACCTCATCCACATTCAGTGGAAGGCATGCCGAGCCTTTCTGTTCCGCCAGATTGATCAAATGGCAACAGCAGCCCATGATGGCAATGTTCTCATGGCTTTCTTTCAGCACAGCAGCCACTCCATTTTTCAATCCAATCATGACTGGCGCGTTATCACACGCCATGCCGATGCAGTTCTGGAGCGGTATCTTTTTGTTTTTGCTCGTTACCGTGTCCACAACAAGCGCACCGATGTTTCGTCCCGTGGAGTTACCTTCGAGGGCAGGCATCGCGAGCAAGGCAGTGCGAACAGTACTATCACAGAACGTCACCACGATTGGATACAGTTTTGCATCGTTGCCGGCGTCATTGCTCCCGTCTGTGGCGACCGAGAATGGAGCATGCTGCAAGTGACTTATCACTTCGTGGATAGCTTTGTTGGCCATTTCCTTCGTACGGGCGCAGGCGTAGTTCTAAGCTTCCTTTGAGTCCGGAAACATTTTTCGAAAAAGGTTTTCAGCGTGATCAGCAGCCGTGAACGGCACGTTGTGTTCAATCAGGAACGCAGTAAAAAGGCACTCCGCTCGAGTTTTAGTATCAAGATACGCTTTGCTGAAGTACCCTCCAAGTTTTTTGCTAGAGTCCACAAGTTTCACTGAGTCTTTGTGTTTCTTCGTATTCACATGTAGCAGAATATCCCGGCGACCAGCGTGCGAAATGTTCACATCACAGCAGCACAAACCACAAAATGCGTACCGCTCACCTTTATGTGACCTCTTAATAAATGGAAAGTCAGTCGAATAGCTGGGAATAAAAACTTGAAAGTATTTCTTCTCAGACATCTCATGAGCTGCTAGGACTGAACCACACACTACCGTTACGCAAAAACATGTGCAAGGAACCTCCCGCAGCACGCATGGTAACAAAGAAAGTCGAGCACATTTCCGCCATCCGCGAAGTCTATGCCTTTTGGCTTTGACTCTGGATATAAGACAATACAGTGTTGCCTGCATAACCACGCAAAGAAAAGGTCAGATTTAGCTGGTGCAGTTGTCTGTCTGAAGCAGCGCGTTTAGTTTGCGAACTTTTCGACCCGAAACATGAAAAATCGTAAAAATATAGTTGTCATTACGATACTCGTAAAAATGTGGCACTTTACGATAAAATTTTAAAACTTGGCAAGTATGTCAAATGACATTGTAGCAAACTGCCACCGAAGCATCAAAACAAATCGTCGATAACAAAATACGGCCACTGCCGTATTTCGTGAAGCATGCGGGGATAACAAGCATAAAGAGTTAATTGTGACCGAAACGAAGATCGGGGTGCTACTGTGTTGTGGATATCGTCATGCTCATTTTTGGGCGACAAGAGATTTTTTCTGGTTTTCCAAGAACTCGTGAAGCGACAGCAATGAACGGCCCTTCGCGAAAACCATAAAGACAGAAAATCCTGCCATTGTCATTAAAATATTGCATGCATGTGGTTGGGCCTCAAAGTTTCATATCTGCAGGAAGCGACAGTTGGTTGGCGCGGGCAGTTTCGCAACCTTCGCTTGCCGTGTGCTTGTCAGCTGCGATGTCTCTACTCTTGCGCTGTACGTGTGAACCCCGCAGTAGAACATTAATAAATAAAACAAAGGAAATGCCACGCACAGATAGAAATAAAAACATAACGGCACGTGGCACCGACCAAGGGGTAGAAGGGAGCAAGCCGAGGTGGTTTGGCATAATAAAAAACGGAAGAGATCCAACAGTCAAGGAGGTGCCACATGTCTGTTTGCTGAACTGCAGCGGACAAATGTGGGAGTGTGTTTATTACGCAAGAGAAAAAAATTCAAATTTCAACGACTAAAGTTGGGGGCGTGTTTATTATGTGAGTGCGTTCATTACACGAGTAAATACGGTATTTTTTACTGAAACTAGACAAATATTAGGGGTGCACAAATGATGGAAGTAAATACAGTAAGCATTGCATTTATGTATTTATCAAGTAAAGAAAAAATTTATTTAATAGATACATTTTCATTGTTTACTTAATAATAAAGATAACGTGGCATTTGGTTCATTCAGACGTTACTTCCCCTCCCGTGAAATCTAAATGAAGGAGCTTTTACTGCACCACTTTCCGTGATGCTCCGCGGCAACTAGGCACAGCAGATCCAACCTCCAACTTCCGAACAATACTGCTGCATGCTGTTGTGCATGGCCACATATGCAAAAGTTTCCCTCACTAATTACTCTCACCACACGCTTCCTTACATACTAGCGCAGTCAGTCCCCTACACTGTCCCTCAAAACTCTTTCGCGAAAGCTGGCACAGCTACGTGTGGTTGGACGTGGCCTCAAGGATTGCAGCAGCTAGGTCTGCTCAAAGCATGGCCTTCAAGTCATAAATCAACCATGCAGTGGGTTGCTTAGTGAAAATGAAATAAGAAATAAATACAATGATGAGCGATTGATAGCTTGCATTTAAAATGGCTAGCGCATTGCTTCTCTCTCTACATCTACCCACACACGCTACTGAACGTTAAGTGTAGCCTCTGAGATCCCACCGGCAGTGGAGTGACCCTGAAGGTCACAAGCTAGCAAAGCCATGCTGGCGTGACGAGGTTCGTTGGCCTACGCCTCACACGTGTCATAGTGGGCTGAGATCAGCAACACTATATGTACTTTACTCCTGAAAAACATTTCTGTGGTCTACTCCTCTTCAACATCACTGTCTTGCTGGTTTCACTGCAATGCGCACAAGCAGAGCGTAAAATCGAAGTGAATAATTGTCGCAATGTAACAAAATGCCATTTTTATAAAGGCTCTCAAGCCATGTGAAAGGTCCGACAATGCCAATGCCGTAGATTGCCACTTTTTTCTTCACAGTGAAAAACATTTCCTAGCATACATGACCCTTACAGGCCACAAAGCGCTCTCCTATGCACATATAATAAAGGGCAATAATGGGTACAACGACATAATGGACATAATAAAGTAACTTTAGACCCCCTTCAGCCGTCCTTCAGGTGCGTTACAGTGCAGTTTACCTTTAACAGCAAACATGAAAAAATCAATCAGACATCAATGTAACTTGCTAATAAAGCAGGTGAAGCACATAATTCCTGCAAAGTAGCTTTACGGTCGATCTTCAAATTGGATCCTCTATTACACATTGTAACCAAGACTTACCTTGTTGTCATCGACTTTTTGTACAATTTTACATCTGTACCATAGTCCATCTAGAGAAAACCTTGCAGCATAGACCTAGAAAGAACGACACACGAAGCTATAATTCATAATAATACAGACCGCAATGCAGTGACCGACACTAATTGTCATATGTATACACAGGCCCACATGAACATAGGCAAATATTTTCAGAGGGTTCGTCCAAATATTCAAACACTTCCAATATTAGAATCATTATTACAGTATTTAAATTAGCTGCAATTTGAATATAAATTATTCAAAATAAAAAATAGGTGCATACAAATCCGCATGTAACCCCCTTTAAAAAGGTGGTATCACTGCAGTAAACGAGTGTTAAGCTGTGAAAACAGCTATTCAGAAAAAATCAGCACTCTCATGATGTTTCTCTTCACGGTTAAATGAATATACTACCCCCCCCCCCCCCATTACTTCCATTCACCAGGTTATTGCTTCCATTCCAATAAGGCAAAAAGTGAGCCACCAAAATACTATTATATTATATATATAAAAAAGCTATTACACACACACACACACACACACACACACACACACACACAAACGAGCCCTTAGGCAGTATACACTTTCTTCCTTTATTTATTAACGAGGGTCTCGTACTGGCAGAATTGGTGCCGTTAAGTTGTATACGAAGGGCTATTGGTTAGCTGCCCGCTCGTAATAAGTTCACGTGCCACGTGACGCCAAATAGGCTCATAAAAGGGTGTTTCACACTCGCCGCTTTAGCTACAGATGGCGCTGACTGACACCCACGTTTAAATTCACATATAATACCCACCAAAGTGGCTGGACGGACAGCCGCCGTGATAGCTCAGTGGTTAGAGCATCGAACGCGTTATTCGAAGGTCGTAGGTTCGATTCCTGCTCACGGCAAGTTATTTTTTCACCCACTTTTCTTTATTTACATTACATTGGTTCTAATAACTTCCATTATACATTCCTTGGCATTATTGTCTGTTAGGTCTCATTAATATTGTGTCAAAACATAGATAAACGAGCCTTTAGGTATTAGGTAACACTTGTTTTTATATATATATATATATATATATATATATATATATATATATATATATATACACTCACACACACACACACACACACACACACACGCACACACACACTATAAGAACTAGCAGTAACCCAGATGGCACCCCACCAGTAATGATAGAAGAAATCAGAAAAGCTTTGGAGAGTATGCAAAGAGGCAAAGCTGCTGGTGAGAATCAGGTAACATCAGATCTGCAGAAAGATGGAGGACAGATTGTGTTAGAAAAACTAGCCACACTGTTTACGAGGTGTCTCCTACCGGAAAGAGTACCAGAGTCTTGGAAGAACGCTAACATCATCTTATTACATAAGAAAGCAGATGACAAGGACTTGAAGAATTACAGGCCGATTAGCTTGCTTTCCATCGTATACAAGCTATTTACAAAGGTAATTGCTAATAGAGTAAAGAAAACATTAGAATTCAATCAACCAAAGGAACAAGCGGGATTTCGATTAGGCTACTCAACAATCGGCCACATTCATACTATCAATCAGGTAATAGAGAAATGCTCAGAATATAACCAACCACTATACATAGCCTTCATAGATTACGAGAAGGCGTTTGATTCAGTAGAAATATCAGCCGTCATGCAGACACTGCGGAATCAGGGCGTCGATGAAGTATATATAAACATCCTGGAAGAAATCTACAGGGTATCAACTGCTACCATAGTGCTTCATAAAGAAAGCAACAGAATGCCAATCAAGAAGGGTGTAAGGCAGGGGGACACAATCTCCCCAATGCTATTTACCGCGTGCTTACAGGAGGTTTTCAGAAACCTAGGATGGGAACAGTTAGGGATAAGAGTTAATGGAGAGTACCTTAGTAACCTGCGTTTCGCCGATGACATAGCATTGTTGAGCAACTCAGGGGACGTAGCGAGATAAATTTTCGGTGACGGTGCCAATTCCAGAAATGATGGGGCGGCCGGGATTTTTCAGCTTCTGAATTTCAGGAAGCATGTAAAATCTTCCCGCTATGAGAATGAGTGGTACCAAAGAGCGGACTGTCTTTTCGTTCAATTTACCATGTTCTAGTAGAGTCGTAAGTTCGTTCTTAAGCTTAGATTTAAATTCGCTGCTAGGATCGGAGGGCAAAGCTTTCTAAAAGAATGCGTCTGAAAGTTGCCTGTCGGCCTTGTTTATATAATCAACCGCGTTGAGATTGCAATAGCCCTCCCTTTATCGACTTGTTTAATGACGATGTCATGATTTGTCGACAATTCTGCGAGAGCAACCTTCTCTTTTTCAGACAAATTGTGACGGTAAGGCACGGTTTTCTTACAAGCAGCCGAAATGTCCCATTGTACAGCGTTTATGTAAATATCTAGGCATCTGTCGCGATGTGGTGGAGGTGTCCATTGTCTATATGTCGGTAGTGCAGGTCAGGTTTCGTTCGGGCTTCGGCGATCATGATAGTATTCTCCGAGGCGCAAATTACAGGAAAAATTGTGTAGATCCTTCAGAAGTTGAAACTCATTGAAGCCACCTGAAGCGGGGCAAAAGTTGAGGCCCCTTTACAAAGCAAACACTTGTTCATTCGAAAGAACTATTTTTGAAAGGTTTACAACGCTGTTATCGATTTAAGAGGACTGGTCTTTCAAATCATTAGAATCTATTGCGGTGCGTTTGGTCGGCTCAAATTCGCGCTCGTGCGTACCTAAACCACCATGTAGAAACTACTTCTGTTTAGTTGTGTTCAACGTGTTCCTCTTACGTTCTTCATAGGCAATTAAACATTCATACTCGTGCTGTCCTAGCTTATTTAACAGGCGAGCTTCTCTATGCTGAAGGTTTTGCGTGCAAGATTTGTAATGGTGAATAATAATGTGTATGAGATCTAAGGACGCTTTACTTAACACTTCTTGCCATTTGGCTTTGTTAGAGGCCAAAAGTTTGGAAGTAGCAGGTTTAAATCTTATCTGTAAACCTTTCGGGACTACCGAAGCATTCAAATAGCTCCTAAGTGAAGATACATGTAGCTCGAAACGAACTTTTTTCTCAACAATTTTCCTAGCTTCTAGAAACTCTCGCGAAGGACAGCTTGAAACATTGCCTTTAAACGCAGGTGCCTGCCGCCAGTCTTCCGCACTCCCTCGACCGGTGTTTCGGCGGGTAGGGTAGCGATGACCCATCGTGGCGGGAGCTTCAGTTCGGTTTTGCCGGGTTGTGTCTTGGCTTGAAGAAGCGGAGTTGTATGTAGCACCCACAGGGGACGTTTGTTGGCGTCTACGCAGGTGCCTGCCGCCAGTCTTCCGCACTCCCTCGACCGGTGTTTCGGCGGGTAGGGTAGCGATGACCCATCGTGGCGGGAGCTTCAGTTCGGTTTTGCCGGGTTGTGTCTTGGCTTGAAGAAGCGGAGTTGTATGTAGCACCCACAGGGGACGTTTGTTGGCGTCTACCAGGAGACGTCTGCGTGGAGCGTTGTGGGGGTTCGCAAGGTGGGCAGTCGCGCCATGATAAAGTAGTTCCTTGGAAACGTTTACAACAGTGTGCGCAAATGTGGCTGGCGATGATGGCAACACCTTCGAAGCTCAGACGAAGACCATCAGCTGCCAGCACACGTGTCAGGGGCAGCCAGTGGAGACCATGATCCACAAAAAAAACTTTCCTGGAGCACCTGCAGCAGTTACATAGAAGTCGGTTCAAGTGCACGGCTTCCATATTGCACCGGTAAACAAATGCAAGGTTTCGGTTGCTATTACGACGGTTAGGGCAGCGTGGAAGAACGAGTGTAGCATCAATTCGTGGAATGTGAGGCTTGAAGTTCATGACGTGCTCCAGCAGGGATCGGTATCTTTTGAATGCTACAGAAGCACTTGTTGAAGCGACGTCGTTCGTACCAACGTGGAGAACGAGGGCGGTTGCAGTTTCTGGCACAAGGTCCAAGGTCAAATAAAGACCGCACGTCGGAGGTGTGCGCACCCACTTGAGGGATGAAAGCGGGAGTCCCTCTAGAACATGAGTCGAAATGCTGGTGGACGTACTTGGACCGAGAATCGCCAATGACGACCGTAGAAATTTCCTCTTGGGGATACTTAGATTTGACTGCAACACTTATAATGCCGTGTACATGTTGGAATGTAGTGCCCGTTCGAAACAATAAATTGTTCACACAGAAACTCCCTTCAGAATACGCTTTAATAACCACAAATCTCATGTAAATATTTTACCAACATCCAAAGTTCCAGGTAAGCAGCATTATGAAAAAAGCATGGTTTTCAGCTTTATGTCTTTGGTTGCTCCAACTTGGCATGAACGAATGATTATCACTGAGTTCCAATATAAAACAAACTTCGGAAGAGCACAAACACACAAGAAAAACTTTTTTTCCCATTTTTATTTTCAATTTTTCATTTTTAAAATATGGAAGGCTCTGTGGCATTTTTTTTTTTCTTGATTAGCGTATACTGTACCCCATGTTCCCACAAATAATGTATCTACCCTTGCATGCGAAGGTGATAGAGTGAAAGCGAACCTGTTTAGCGCTTGGGTACATCTTCGCGAGTTCGTGAGACCATCGCAATATGGTCTATGGTCTTTCTTCCAAGGTACTCAGGCTAGCTTGGCAAAAACACGTAACGTTTTGACATCTCGCTTAAGGAGTCTATTTGAGCTATGCACTTATACACTGAGCAGCGAGCACAACCAGACAACGCTTCTCACGTCTCCTGCTTCGGCGCGGCAGTTCGGCCGTGGTTCTGTAGGTGGCGCTCTCACCACATTCGCTGCCGCTCCCCAGGATCACAGAATCCTGTCAAGTTCAAGGCCTGTCAAGTTCAAGGATTCTGAATCCGAGAGATTCCCGCAACAGGGGAGTGGGGGGGGGGGGTGCACTGAATTATTTGCCCCCATTTTTTTGGCACCAAAAAAACCCAAGGAAAAACAAACAAAAAACATCGTAAAAAACAAGAGGGGATGGGGGTCTCATTTGCAAGTGCTAACATCAGCGTTGCGGCCTTATAGTGGCTTGAAGTGGCCGAACACACGAG